GAAAGCAGGTTTTCAGCATAAATCTTACTGAGATTCTAGGCACAGTGAACCATCAGTTAGGGAACAGTAGGTTTTTATATATCTGATCTTCCACTGTCTTCTAACTAACAAATGAAAGGAAATTCCATGTGCTACCCGCCCCCCCAAAAAAACTGGCTTTCTTTTAAACAGTTGACAGCTCAATTACATGAAGCTGCTTTTAAGTAAGAATGATGGAAATTGAAATTTTAAACTAGGTATGTGAGACGAGAAGATTAAGGGCACACCCATCCCCAAAATATCAAGAGGTCAGGTCTTAGCCATTTCCTTCCCTGTCTGGCTTTCTGAAAAATTGCATGTAAATTGAAATTAGATGGTTGGATCTACTAGATAAATGGATGGCTGCCTGGATGGTTGGCTGGGCATGGTGACACATGCCTGTAACCCCAGCACCTGGGAGGATGAGCCAGAAGGAGTACCACAAATTTGAGGCCAGTCTGGGCTATACAGCAAGATCCTATCTTAAACAGAAGAGATTGTTGAATCTAGAAAGTACTTAGAGGGTTTCTTTGGCTTAACAAAAAACACTGAATTAGAACATATATTTACAATGATTAAAAGACAGTTTTTAGTTTTTCTTTTAATGTCTGTTAATATGTTCATAAATTAGAGCTTTCGTTTACTGCTCTGCTTTCTGTGTTCTCTGTACACACTTATAAACAAGACTGAAGAATTCTAGCTTTTTTGTGTGAGTCTGGGTCTTGCCATGTAGTCCCAGGGTAGTCTTTTTTTTTTTTTTTTTTTGGTACCAGGGATCAAACTCAGGTCCTTGCGCTTGTGCAGCAGGCGGTGAAACCACTGAGCTAAATCTCTGGCAGTACAGGGTAGTCTTCAACTCATTGTATAGCTCAGGATGGCCTCAAACTGACAGGAAATAAGCAGTATGTCACCATGCCTGGCTCACAGATATTCAGAGACTTGTCTCAAGGTATAGCTCAGTGGCAGAGTGATTGATTAGCCTGGGTAAGACCCTGAGTCCAATCCTCAGTGCCAAAAATAAAAACATACTGAAGACTCTTGGCCCCAAGTCACCATAGTAGGTAGCAAAGCCAAACATCAAAGGTTTTTTTTTTGTTTTTTGTTTGTTTTTTTGTTTTGGGGGCGTTTTTTGAGACAGGGTCTTACTATATAGTTGAGGAGGCTGGTCTTGAACTCACAGTGATTCTCCTGTCTCAGCCTCTCTAGTGCTGGGATTACAGGCGTGTGCCACCAGGCCTGGCTCTCAAATATTATAATTTAATTTTTCAGACTGAAAATCCCATCCTATAAGACAGTGTGTTTCTAACTGTTGCATTGATTCCTAAGATTCTGTGAAGGTGACTGAGGTGAGGGTAGAGATGGCACCTTTATCCCATCCAGGTCATGCACAATTCCCACCCCATTCCACCAGAATAACCTGGTTTTAAATATTGTGATAAGGTGAAAAATTATGATTTTAAATATAGTTTCCTTGAATAAAGTTACTTTGTTTTTAGGCTTCTTAATTTTTATTTCAGCCAGGTGTGGTGGCACACATCTGTAATTCCAGCACTTGGGTGGCTGAGGCAGGAGGATCACTGCAGAGTTCAAGGCCAGCCTGAACTACATAATGAGACCTTGTCTCAAAAAAAAATTTTTTTTTATCAGTGCATTTGCAGTACCTGATTATTCCATTCATCATGGGGAGTTGCTATATGCTTACATAACACATCTTAATTCTTTTTATGTTCTTCCTCTCTTTTTTAATCCTTTCCCCCTTTTTATCCTTTCCCCCTCTCCCATCTCTGTTTCTTCCCCTTTTGCAGAAGATGTATCTTCCTTTTTCCTATCACCTATCTTTTATTTTGTTCTTTTTTTATATTTTGGGTTTCTCATATATATATGAGAAAACATGACATTTAAACTGTGACTGCATCTGATTTATTTCACTAAATATGGTCTCAAGGTAGATACATTTTCCTACAAATGACTCAAAGTTATCCTTCTTTATAGCAGAGTAGTACTCCATTGTGTATAAATACTACATTTTCTTCATTCATCTGTTGATGGACATATAGGCCACTTCCAAGATTTAGCCTACTGTATTACAAATTGTGCTGCTAAAACATGGGCATGCATGTATCACTGTAATATGATTTCTTTAACTCTTTCAGGAAGATACCTAGAAGGAAAACATGTAGCTGGATCTAATGGAATTTCTGGTTTTAGTTTTTTGAGTGATTTCCATTGCGATTGTACTCATTTACATTCCCACCAGCAGTGTAGAAGGGTTCTTTTTCCACACAGCCTCACCAGCACTTGTTATTGATTGGTTTATTGGTGACAACCATTCTTTCTGGAGTAAAATGCAATCTCACCATTTAGTTTGCATTTTTCTAACGGCCAGTGTTGTTGACCATTTCTTCATGTATTTATTGTTCATTTATACTTCTGGAAAATATATGTTGATTTCAGTTGCCCATATTTTTGGGTCTTATATTGAGGGATCTAATTTTTAAGAGTTCTTTATGTATATTCTAGATATTAGTCCTCTGAGAGTAGCTGGCAAATTTTTCCAATTCTGACTCATCACTCAGGTGTTTCCTTGGCTGTGCAGAAGCTTTTAAATTTGATATAATCCTATTGATTCTATTGTGATTTCTTGTGCAGTGGAGGTTCTGTTCAGAAAGTCATTGCTCATACCTATGTCTTCAAGAATTTTCCCTATTTTATCTTCCAACAGATTACATATTTGTGTTTTAACACTTAGATTTTGGTCCATTTTGATTTTAGTTTAGTACATGATGAGAGATACAGGATTAGATCCAGTCATCTGCATGTGGATAGCCAGTTTTCCCAGCACCGCTAAAGAGGCTATCTTTCCTCTAGAGTATGTTTTTGGGCCCTCTGAAAAGACTGGGTAGCTCAATGTGTCTTGGGTTGTTCCTGTACCACATCTTTTTTGTGCCAGTACCATGCTGTGCTTATCACTGTTGCTTCATAACATAACTTGAAGTATGGAACTGTGATCCCTCCTGTTTTGCTTTGCCCAGGATTACTTTTGTTATTCTGGGCCTCTTCTGGTTCCATATGAATTTTAGGGTTGTTCTCTCCAGTGTTGTGAGGAATGCTGTTGGTATTTGGAGTGGGGAGGCTTCTTTTTTTACTTTTCTTCCCATGCTGCTGGGGATCAAACCCAGGACTTGCACACTCCCACCTGCACTCTATCGCTGGATTAGAAAGTTGTATTACCCTTTTAGACAAGCTTGTTTATGTGAGACAGGGGGATAGGTCCCAAAGTAAGACAAAGAAACTGTCCTCTAGTGTTTTAAAACTTCTTTCTAAAATTAGGAAGCAACAGAATTTGACATTCTTCTAACCTTAAAATGAGAACTAATTGAAGTAGCCCACAGAAGTTCCAGTAGAAGAAAAAAGGGCTGGGGATTTAGCTCAGTGGTTCCACCGCCTGCCTCACAAGTGCAAGGTCCTGAGTTCAATTCCCAGTACCACCCCCACCCCCCAACCCCCGAAAACAGAAAAAACCAAAAGATATGATTGAAGTTTTTTTTTCTACCATTAATAGAGTTTTTAACCAGTAATTTACAGAACTGGTTTTTTAAAATTCTTAGTTCTGGAAGGTACTGAAAGTATAAAGATGATCTGTAAGATAAAAAAATCTTTTTTTTGTATGGGGGATGAACCCAGGGCCTCTCACATGGTAAATGCTTTGTTTTTATGGCCTTTTCTTTCTTTGTTCTTTTTTTTTTTTGGTGGTAACAGGGATCAAACTCAGGACCTTGCACTTCCCAGGCAGGCACTGTGCTATTTTGATGGCTTTTAAGAATATTTCAGGGCCAGGGAGTTAGCTCCGTGGTTCTGCTGCCTGCCTCGAAAGTGCAAGGTCCCAAGTTCAATCCCTGGTACCAAAGAAAAAAGAATTATCATTTCAGTGTTTTGGGTTTTTTTTCTCAAAGTAATACAAGTGGACAAAATCTGAACTAACATATAGAATATTCTTGTATCTTCATGCATGTTATAGTGGAATTTGCCAGCTTACAGGGAGAGTATAATTCACTATAATTCCAGTATGGGCAGTGACGGTGGGCAAGCTTTGTCCTATAAAATGAAAGTAGGGGTCGGGGATTTAGCTCAGTGGTTTCAGCACCTGCCTTGCAAGCGCAAGGTCCCAGGTTCGATCCCCATTACCAAAAAAAATAAAATAAAATGGAAGCTGATCTTAGATGATATCCAAGACCCTCTTTTTAAATTTTATTTTCAGCATAGTCCATTGCAGCCAATTTGGAATGCTGTTCTGTAGTCACATAATAGTAGAACTGTACTAATACCAGCCAACATTTACTGACTGAACTTTTATAAGTTTGCTAGAATGCCAAGGACAAAACACTTAAAATTCCTGTTTAATTATCACCTTAGTACTTTACACGTGGAGAAACTGAGGCTGAATATTTGCCTGGTAAGTATAAAACCTTGAGGAAGTGATGAAGTTTATTTCAACAATACCCAGTATTTCAGACTATATGAATTTTAAAATTATTTTCCACATGGGAAGAAAAAGAAATCTGTATTGACCTGTGCTAATGTAACTACTGTTATACTGAAACTACAACTTCTTTGTAGCCTACAAAATATCAGTCCAGTTGCTCGATTACATGCAGATCTATTTATATTGGTTTAACTTTGGTGTATCAAGAATGAATGTATCTGGATTATGTGGTCTTTGTAGGGAGATACTTCAGTTAACCTTTAATAACAATTTTTCAGTGAGGCTTGTGTTTATATCTTTTACGAATATGTCAGAGTGTGTGTGTGTGTGTGTGTGTGTGTGTGTGTCCGTGTGTCCGTTCATGTCCATTCTAGAAGCCTAGCCTACCTCGCCTCCTACCTCTCCTCAGGGCTCTTTCCCTCTCACCTCTGCCCCTTATACACACACACAAAAAAAGATTTTTTCAATAATCATTTCTTAATCTACTTTTAATATTTAGGAACAAGTTCCAGTTCCAGTGTATCATCCAACACCTAGCCAGACTCGGCTAGCAACTCAGCTGACCGAAGAGGAACAAATTAGGATAGCTCAAAGAATAGGCCTTATACAGCATCTGCCTAAAGGAGTTTATGACCCTGGAAGAGATGGATCAGAAAAAAAGATCCGGGAGTAAGTTTTAATAAGCTTTATTTCAGAGGTCTATTTTTAGACATTACCTTTTGAAAATTTTGCCTTTTCTGATGTACAGTGTTACCTCAGTTGTCAAACTAAATTCATTCCAAATTCATGTTCAAACACCAAAAAGTTTGAGAACTGAACATATTTTTCCCATAAGAAATAATGGAAAACCAAATAATTGGTTCTGTGGCCCCAAAATTACGCCTACAACTCCATTTTTTCTTTAACTCTGTCGTGGTTCTCACAGTTTTCCTCTTAGCTTTATTGCTGGTAGCACTAACTTTCTTTAGAACCATGGTTATGATATTTTATGCAAATAAAGCACACACACCCCAAAAAAGCAGTGACAAATGTTTTTAACAGGCACTATATGTTGTCTGGGCAAGAGCAGCACTTAGACTGAAGCATCGCCCCTTTGTATTGTATTGTGGTGAGACTCTACACATAACCCGCTCTCTGCCTCTGCCTGTACAGGTTTTTTCAAGTTGGATTTTCGTTTTGACTATCCAGCAAAGTTACACCGAGCAGCTTTTTTTTTTTTTTTTTTTTTTTTTTAACGTTGCCATTTTAGTAGGGGAAAGTTCAAGCTTGGCAGCCATTCAATAATTGAGGTGTCACTGTTCTTTGGAAGTCTGTGACATGTACTTACTGGAAAACCTCAGTTAATTCAAGAGAATGTTTAGATGCAATAGTAAAGAATTTGTATATATAAAAATAGCTAAGCAGTATGGTGTGAATTCTGATTATTATTTACACTTCCTGTCCATTTGGATAACTGGTGATAGCTAAAACGATTTACATATTTGTATGTGAAATAAGGCCAGCATTACTAGTGGCCATGTCAGCTGGTTTTTGGAATGTCATCTGGCAATATTTCAAGGACTATACCCTTTAAGATAATAGCCATAGGGATCTATTTCAAAACATGTACCACCACCACCACTCCCCCAGCCACACAGTGTTCACCACAGTCTTGGTTAAGGGGAAAATGTATGCTGCATATAATTGTCCATCATTAGAGGTATAGATAGTTAAGTTGTGATATGGGAATACTTCATCAGATGATGCAGCCATTAAAAGTGTTTTATTTTATTTATTTATTTTTTGGTACCGGGGATCGAACTCAGGACCTTGCACTTGCGAGGCGGGCAGCGGAACCACTGAGCTAAATCCCCAGCCCAATTAAAAGTGTTTTTAGAGATATGAGAGAAATCTGCTTCCTGTAAGATAATTTTATTAAGCCTGATGAGTTGAAGATAAAATTTTGCTGGTGTGGAATTTTGGACCCCAACGCTCATCATTGTCTTTGAGAACCGCTAAGGAGGGATCCTTTCTCCTTCTAAATTGAGAATGGCTTACCCAACACAAGCATAATTTGATTTACTATGTTAATGTTTGGTGCTATACCAACATTTAGCACTAGTACTTAATATTATAGTCAGTCCAAAACATTGACTTCTGAAATGAAAATTCAAAACTGAGTTAATGAAAATAGCTTTAACTTAAAGCAGCCCAGTAAGTAGGTTGAAATTAGGGCTCTGTTTTTACATATTGTTCAAATAAAAATATTACTCCAGGATTGCACTAAAAACTCAGTATAAAGAAACAAGGCTGATCTGTCTTGCTACTTCCTGCTTAAAACATCACACTCTCCTGCAGGTCTGTCCTATAATATGTAGCTGTTGTACAAACAGAGCAGTAAACTTGATCTTAATGTGATCCATTTCTCATTGCTCTGGTGATTACTCTTAAGCCCAGCAAATGCTGAGGAGATTGAAACAAGAGAATATAGATGGTTAAACACTTATTGGGCAAAAAACTTCCATTTGCATGCTGAAGTAAGGAGGTGATAGGCAAATTGTTCTAGTATGTTGTTTTGGAGTAACACCATGTTTGAGTCTTATGGATAGACTCCTTATCTAAAACTGCTTCCTGATTTCTCTCTCTTGCTTCCTTCCACAGGTGTGTGATCTGTATGATGGACTTTGTTTACGGGGACCC